TTATCAGTTTGAAGAAGGCAGCTCGGTTTTTTTCATCGTTTGGTTGTTGTTTTCCGTGTTATGACGCGAGACAATCATTAATGCAAATTGTTTGCTAATTTGTCGTATGTTACTATTGATGTTGAGTTGATAAATTGAAGTGTGTAATCTGATGAGTGAGGTTTGTAGTATAACACAACGCTAAGATTGCGTCGTGCTCCGGTATTTCTGGATGGTGGTTTCGATAATTGGAAATTGCATTATCCAATGTTTACGTCGGATCGAAGGAGTGCGAAACGCATCTTTTGCAATATCAACGATCAAAGTGAATTCGCGAAAGCTGTTGCCGAGTTTAAAAAAGGTTGGTACGAGTTTGTGTGTGATGGTTGTTGGGAATGGCTCGATAAAGCCTTCACATTGGCTTCCGAAAAGAGCATTTTAATGATGGTCTCTTATGGAAGCAATGTGCGTGCTTGGTTAGTGTCACTTCAATCATTTTTATGACATGCGATTGCGATTGCACCTTTCTGTAGCAAGGAAATTATCATTGTTACTGCCATTTGATCCATTGAAATTTATTAAATCTTTTTTTNTATTTGTAGATCTTAACATCCAATCTTTACAATATCCTGATCTACTTCATCGAGAGAAACCGCCTACTGCTCCAACAGCAGCAGCAGCAGTGCCCTCAACACCGGCGGTGCCCACTCGACCGGAACCACCAGATTCTAGTTCTGCAGCACATCAGCAGATGATTTATCCAAGTATGAATGCAGAAGCCCGACCTTCTGAGCCTGCTTTTCGACCTTCTGCTGCTGCTCCTTCAGCACCGAGCAAGAACGCCAGTGGAATAGCAACAGCCCCTAGTGGTATGTTTTGGTTCGGTTTTGATACAAGCTGCTTAACGTGAGAATGTTCTTTAGTAGGAAATTGCCTACGATCAGTACTGTTTCTTATTTTGATAAGTTCAGTTTTTTTGTGGTCATGAGTATTCATTTAGCTTCAAATTGTGTAATGATATTGCAGTGAGTTATTTTTTGAATGAACTGATGGATTCTCTTGCGATCATTTTTGATGTATCTGATTAGGATATTAAGTCAATGTCAAATTGAATTCATCATAGAAATGAGCTTGGAGAATTTCTTCCGATGATTCGAAAGC